GTAAAATGGTATAAGGATCGACTAACGGCCGCCTTTGGCTCGCTGAACTCCGAGGGAAATATGCATTTTTCGGGTTTCGTATGTGTGTGTGTTTGTGTGTGTTTGTCTCTGTGCGTGTTCTGGGTCGATTTAGAATTGAGGTGGTGGTATGAACAGGCGTCACGTGGAATGAGGATGGATTCGGATTGACAGGGTCATCTGATGCGAAGTATATGGTGGTGTGATGACGGTGCAGCATTTGGAGAAATTTTAGATCTGCGTCGAGGCTCCGATCAAATTCGGCTGCGAGATGCTCCCGACCTGCCCCGGTCTGAACTTCTTCTTGCGCGAGAAGCTGATGCTCAGTCGACGGCTGAGTCGGCGGACCGGCGGGGTCCAGGCTTCAGTCGAGAGAATCGACATGGGGCGAGATTTCGGGGGCTGCGGATGGGCCGGAACCGCGTAGTAGTCCATTGTCGTCGGGCTGGCGATGGAGGTGCTGGACATCACCGCGTCCTCGTCAATCCCGAAGAAGGATTGGCGCCGCCGGCTGAGGACCTTCTCGCTGGTGCTCTGGAGGGACATGTCTTCCACAATATCGTCGAGGGCGTGAGAGAAGCGCCGCAGGAGCTTGGGCTTCTCGCAGATCGACGGGGCGCGCTGCTCCAGGCCGTACATCTGCAGCGGGGTCGACTCGGGGACATCGTCCCTCACGGGGGTGGAATAGTAGCGGGGGATCTTGTAGTGTTCCGGTCGACGACGAGGGGCGGGCGGAAACCAGACATGGTGATGCGGAGATTGTTGGGAGACGGGGCTTCCGGAGTAAGAGGAACGAGATGAATCGGTGGAGGCGGAGGTCAACATCCTTCTATTTCCGGCAGTGTGTGTGTAATGGATGTTTGTGTTGGGTATGGTGGGTAGGTGGATGAGTGGGTGAAGAGAAAGAAAAGAAACGAAAGGAAGATATTGATTGTTAGGGGAAGGAAGAAAAGAAAGTTGTAACACGGATATGACGAGGGAGGCTGAAGAACGATAGTAGACTAGAGACGATAGACTGGGGGAGGAGTTGTAGCAGCAGCAGGGGGGTTGGTGGTTAATTGACAAAGTGGACAGAGTAGGTAGTAGGGGTAGCAACGAGAACGAGAGGATGAGACCAACTCTCAAACGAGTCAGATGGTCCGTCTGTACTCGGCGTCGGGGGACTATAATTATAGCAGTTTACGGTAGCAAAGAAAGGACGAGAAAGAAACTAAAAGGAGAAAAGTGGGGGCATCCGGAGGATTCACAGCTTCACTGGCCCAAGACGGATGGAGATGGATCCAGTTATTCGCAGTGAACTGCCAGTGGTAATTCGGTGTAATTGATCGGTACCAACTACGCGAGTTGCCAGTGATGGGCCTGGTGGGCAGGAGAGAAGACTCGATGGGATATGCGGATATGCTTAGGAAGCGGACTGAATGAGGAGAATTATCAATCAGATCACCTACCAAGATCTGTCTCGTACATGTATATGTATTATGTACTTAGTATCCATACTACATACATACTACTTAGGCAGTAGGCACTCTAGCCGCCTGACTGCGCCGTTTGCCGTGGGTAGGAAGCAAGCCGATTGGGGTGAGCCAACCGCCTTGACTGGCTCAGTGACGCGGCAATTGGTCGCCATGTCAAACACGGTTCTATGGTTAGCTACTCTGGCTGAAACATGCATGGACAACATCGTTTGATCCGCTTGTCGACACGCACTCAGGTGATAAATAGATCTCAGGAGACTGCGTGGATGTGTGGAAGTGGTGGGAGTGGTGGAAGTGATGGGAATTGGAGGTGTGTGTGTGTGTGTGTGACATCAAAGTGGAGGAAGACAAACAGAGCAAAATTATTGTAACTTAGCATTCATTGCATACTCGGACTAACTGCGAACTGCCTTACCCTAACCACCCTGAGCTAGTACTGTACCCCATTACCATCACATCACTCTTCCTTACCCCTCGTCCCGATCATACTGATTCCTTACCAGTGTGACCAACCTGGCGATGCTGCGCTCAACCGAAGGAAATCATCAAGAGTCAAACTGGGGCGGGCCCCGGGACTAGTGAGTAGTGTCGAGCCAGCCACATTGCCCGCTGCGATGCAAGGTGAAACATGATTTGACTCGCTAGTGTCAAATCGGTTAAAGCGCAATGATCTCATCGGCCGCAGGGGCAGGCCCGCCGGGGCGGGGAGGGGGGGAGGGGGGCATGTGCAATGCATTGCACTAGCATTGGTCTGTTTTCTTTCTTTCTTTTTTTTTTCCTTTCTCCGTACTGCCAGTCTGCCACTGCTGCAATATTCGGGAGTCATGTAAGTTACGGTACGGGCACCCTTCTCCAGCCGAATGAAATGGCGTGCTTGAGAGGACCTTGGGACTTGGGTGTACTGTACCCCGTACCCGAGCACAGTATTGAATCAATTTGCTCAGCCAACCTTCAACTTTAAAACTGATTTCCCCGGTCAACCTGCGGTTCGCCGATCACGGCAGCTTATTATTGACATGATCCTCCTGTTGGCTAACCTATGTGCGGCTCAATGAGCTCCCTCCATTGTTCCACGGGGCAGTGTTGTGGTGTGTTGATTCTCTTCCTATACAACAAGAAAAACAAAGTAGCAAAAAAAAAAGTTTTCCACAATCCACTCCCTCATTCACCGTCTCTTCGTATCCAAACTTCGGCTCACTCACCGGTAGTTCCCACCAGCAAGATCTACTAAATCGAATCACAATGGCCATGCCCGACAGCTCGGGCGTTCATCGAGGGCCGGGAATGTCCCATGTGCTCCTTAGAAGCTCAGACATGAGCTTGAATTTTTCTCATTTTTCCGCGTTCTTCCTCGGCTGCATTTAGGCAGAAGCATATACCACTGGACAAGGGACGGAAAGGCCATCGTCCAATTCACGAAGACAAGACAAACGCAAGGAAAAAAAAACAAACAAATAAATAGCCGCCGCCGCTCCACAATCGTCAATCTAGTAAAGTCTCCACCGTACAAAGAGTCAAGCACTTCGATGGATCAATCCTATTCCTACCGTATCTTTGCTCCCTTCTTCCGACGTCCGGAGAAAAAAGCATGGGTCGATGGACGAATGACGCGTTACCGATTTGCATGTCATATTGTCAATCCGTGCCGACTGGCATACACCGCGGTTGTCGTCTCCGTTTGTGGTGGCAAGTTCTGCGATCTTGGATGGTTGTATCATTGGTGGACGCCGATGAGAAGCCCTAATGTGGCACACGAACGTCCCGTGGCTATGGTTGATGGACGAGGTGTCTTCCCGGACGTCTGGAACTCAGCCACGACCGTTGCTGTCGCGTACAGTCAGTCCATAATCACAGACATTCATGACAGTTCTAGAAACTCAGCGGCGGGAAATCCTATCAATTGATGGTCATCATAGCCGACAAAACCTACGGTAGCTCTCATGTCAGATACATGGATACACACGAATGAGTAGATCTTCGCCACGAGACCGGAAGCCAGGCTCACCAAAACCCCCGGTTTGAACGCAGACATCTTCGTCGGCCGGTGCTATATTTGGATCTGTGGACCAACGGATGGCGTCAACGTAAGCGCAGCCATAGAATCGACTTCCCTCCAGTAGTGTGGCTACCACGTCAACACGACGATGATGATTCGTACATTCAGCGTCGTCGCAATGCATCAACGCACTGTAGTTACAGATGAGTACTTGCACTTGAGGCTGCATCAGCCGGACCCCACTGTCGTCGATCATCTGGAGCGCAAAAGACGCGCGGGCGCGCGCGTGCAGGCCGTCAGTCCGTCACGCACAGTCCATGAGGCATTGAGTCTAGTCCGAACTTCATAAGAAGCGGTCGGTCGGTCGTAGTTGATGCGCTGGGCGGGCCTGTGCAAGACATCTGCTGAGGGCTAACAGCGTGGACACGCAGCGAGCATTGGCCATATTGAATCGACTGTTTTGACCTTCCGAAAGATCAACAACTGACTGCCAGTGGCTTGACAATGTGTGGATGGATGGACGACTTCGTGTTATACTAAGAGTACTACTCACCCAACCACCCCCGGACCTCAATTGGAACAAGACCCCCGAAAAGGAACCACCGCCCACCCCTATTGAGACGAAAATTGACCTTCCATATGATATCGAAAACCCATCAAAAACCCTCTCTACCTCTAGAGTTCAATAGCAAAGCACCACACAGCCAAGCCAAGCGCAAAAGCATCTAAGACAAGCCCCCTCCCGAGTCTCCGAGTGTCCCCCACCGTCGGCGTCGGCGCCCGCGCCCGCGCCCGCGCCCAGCGGAGCACACTGCCTGTCGTCTAACCCTTCCCTTAGTTCACTATAAACCACTGAAACCCTTCTCAGGAGACATTGTCCGAGCATCTGATCTGAGACAGGGGGAGGCTATACCTTCATAGCCAAACCAATCATGCGCATTCCGTCGGGTACGGCACAAATACAGCGGTACCTTTGCAGGAAGACATGCATCGCTAATCAATCACTTATCGCTATCGATAACATGCAGTGTGTAGTAGTAGTGTATCAGCTAGATTACAGTGCAGCCAGCCAACATTCCTTCTAGAAAGAACCCTGTCTGTATTCCACGCCAGCTGCCAGCCGGATGGTCGGCTAGTTACCTGCCAGGAACGTAGGTTGACTTGGGTGTTGGTGGCGTTTCCCCCCATCTCCAGTCCGCCCGATACCGCCAGCAGTCCAGTCCAGCACAGTACACTAACTACACTGCACTAGTCAATTTCCCACATAACAACAAAAAACGTCCCAAATTTTCCTTATGTACCATAAAAACACAACATCTGCCTCTCTCTCAGGCTCAGGGATAATAAGCGCTAATCAAGCTACAGTACTCATGAGGTAATCAAAACCACCTTAATCCCTCGGCTCCCAGAAATCAATAAATAGGGGTGCACCACCGCCCCCGAAGAGAAAACGGGCGGCGGGCCCTGCCCCTATTACGGAGCAAGCAAGTAACTTATGCAACCAACCCTTTTACCCTCAGCAGGATGTCTGTCATCAGCAGCAGCAGCAGCAGCATCTCTCCACCTTTCTTCGTTCCATCATCTTCTTCCATGGTTGCAACCGATCCATGGCCTGATAAGTTAACTCCCAGTGGATTCTGGACGCTTTCTCAAACCTTTATTGTTGGACTCCTAAGTTCCAATAGTACCTCCCCAAGTCACTCATTCATACCGGTACATACATGGTCTGTCTACCTATGCGGTAGGGTAAATGACAACCAGACAGACCCTGAAGCAGGGGGTAACCGTCCAACACAATTTACCTACAGACCCCCGAAGACCCTTAAGCTAAGGTAGCTACTCGTAGCAGCTACGGTACTCCGTACCTAACTAGCTAAGCCCGCTAAGGCTAAGGCTTGAAGCCCCAGCTCCTGCTCCCCTTCCTTCCCTTCGGCTTGGCAAATAATGCCCCGTAGACTAACGAGACTAACGCCAAGAGCTGTTAATTAAACAGGGTCCCCCCCCCGCGGCCTTCAGATTTGGCTTCGTCGGGGGTCCCTCGGGGGCCAGGATTCACAGATACACTACTTCGTACACTAACGCAGGAACTATCGGCGGACTAGTTCTACATAGTACTAAAGCCTGAAGGATGGATGGATCTTGACGCTACCGGCTACACAAGAGGGCGGCGCCTCGCCCGCCTCGGGAGGGTCGGAGATTAGGTGGGGGTCTGTATTGCTCTAGTTCAGTTTGCTATGACTACATTCGGAGGAAGGTCTGGTTCCTTGGAGATGAGATTACCTCATACGGGAGAGGACGGAATCGGATTTACTCCTAGCCAGGAATGTACAGGATCAGGCCCGGGTCTAAGTCAAGAGAAGGTTAAGTAATCAGGTAAATACTTTTTCAATCCATAGTTGGCTAAATCAATAATCAACAAAAACAATCAAGGGTTCCCAAGGTATCAAAGTCATCAATCATGAAGAAAACAGCAGACCTCACAAAAAATATGGACAAGAAATCCATCACCACCAAAATGCTGATACATGATCAAGGCGTCCTGTTCATGCCGTCCTGACACCTGTACATGAAAAATGAAGAAAAAAAAATATGCAAGAAACGAAGAAATGTGCCCCATGTCCACCCTTTCTAGGTATAAATCCCATGTCCCACCATCCCATATACACGACTGGAAAAGAAAAAAACCCCGAATGTTAGTATCGTCTTCCTGTTTGCCCGTTTTTGTTTGCCCAGTCCTTGTCCGTTGTCCTGTTCTTCCTTGACAAGAAAAGAAAGCCCGAAATGGAAGGATGCAAGTCGAAAAAAAAAACCACCCAGCACCGTGAAATACACCAAAGAGAAAAGAAGAATGGGTAAAACAAGGGTTTGTTTTACATGAAAGCACAAGAGGATTTGTGCGTACAGAAGAGAAGAAAGTGATCCAAAAGTTGATCACAGGAGGCTCGCTAGGATTCATCACTGCTTGGAGTGGCGATGCTAGAAAGACGCATGCAACAAGCCGACAAAGCTATCTGCTAAGGTTTCATTGAACCTTTATGCAGCAAGTCCGTTGAACTGGGCAGCAGCCTGGCTGGCTTCAATACTGCGGAAGTTCAATCCCAGAGTGATCAGTTCCTGAAGGCTGGCATTGACCTTCTCATGCATAGCAGAATCCTGAGGCGTGATGTTGCTAATCTCCTCAAGCAGCCGGGAGCGGCAGTTGTAGTAGTTCCTCTCCGCATTCTGAAGGCGCTGGTTGTGGTGAGCAGAGGTCTGCTGGGCAGCCTTCAGGGGGTTGGTCTGAGACTGGGTGGAGCGAGTGCGCTTCATGGTTGGGGCGGCAGTGACGCCGGTCACCCGACGTTTACGTCCAGTTTCCTTCTTCTTGTTGCTGGGTCCAGTGGTAGGAGAGGCGTCGGGGGAGCTGTGCCTCTCGGAAGTGTTGTAGTCGTGAACTCGTCTCATGTGGTCAAAGAGGTTCCATCTGCGGGGGAATCCATAACCCGGAACGGAGCGGTCGCATCCGTCAAAGAGACACAGGTGAGGGTTGTCACCGTGGCCGTGGAATCCGTGGGCTTCGCGCTCGTGGCGGAACAGGCAAGCATTGGACGAGAACTGCAGCTGGGCATCCATGCACGCAGGCATCTTGCAGCGGTAGGGCTTGAGGTGGGAGTCCAGGTATTTGCTAATTCTAGGTCAATATCATTCCTGCCACCAACAAGGACGGCGATACTCACTGGTAAGCACACTTTTGGGTAGTGGGAGGGTGGTTGCAAGGCTTGTCGGACTTGGCATACGGGCAATAGTACTTTCCATCACTGAAGGTAGGCAGGGAGTAGTAAGGGTGATCCCGTGGGTTGCGCAGCTCGGCGCTTTCCTTGGATTTCTGTCGAAGAGTGTCCTTGACGGGCAACGGGGGGAAGAAGTCTGGATCCTGCTTCACCTGAGGTTGAGACGGTGAGGTCTGAATAGTCGGTCTACGAGCACTCTTGGTCGGTCGGATGGTTCTGTTGCATGTCAGTACACCCGTCAATATGTAAGCTCAAAGGGGACTAACCGGTTGGGGTCCTGTTCACTCAGAGGAGGCGTGAGGGGGAACAGAGGGTCTCCGAGGTTGATTCCATGGCTCCCAACGGGCGTGGCAGTGATATCCTTGAGCATGGCATCTTCGTGGGTCATGAAAGTGGGGTATCCAGTGTGGCAAGAGGTAACAGAAACATCATTGCTTGCTTCAGTGAGAGGGGGAGAGACGGGGACGGGCTGAAACATAGTGGTATATTGGTCCATGGGAGATCCTTGGTAGTTCCGGGAGTCTGCGACAATGGAGTTCCATGCGTCGTTGGCAGCCAGGTGGCTGTCATCGGTGTGAGAGCTTTGGCCGACGGAAAGAGCATCCTCGGTTGAGCAGGACTGGGCACCATTTGATCCACAAACATCATTTTCAAAAGCAGAGAAGTCAACCAGGGATGAGTAGTGGTTGAACTCTTGTGCGTGGGTGAAGTCCATGTCATTCTGTTCGGACATATCCTGGATGCTTGAGAAATCGGACCCGGCGTGATGATACATTACATCATTGGGGCCAACAGTGGTTGGCAGAAGTTGTTGGGAGAATGAATACGACAACATCTGGACTTCGGGAGATTCAGGCTTGGACATGGCACCGTTGTCAAGTGCATCCACGTCGCTCAGAGCCCAACCCTTGAAGTCACTGGGAGTTCCATGGCTGTGGTGGGTACTTGAACACAAAGAGAAATTGTCCTGGCTCGAAAGTTCATCATCCTGGATTCCTCTGGAGGCCATGTTGGAGAGTCCTGGGATCATTTGTGATTGCCTTGACTGGGAAATGTGGTCCATGTGGTGCATAGATGACTGGGACAAAGACATGTTTTGTGGTTCAGACTTGATCTGAGTAGGGGTCATTGTATGTTCCAGACTGGCTGGATGGTTGGGGCGAGCACTAAAAAGCAACTTTGAGTCAGTACACCAACTTCGCTTGATACGAGAAGCAACAAAAGCAAAAATTCAATCGTGCATTGGGAATCCATAATGGACCAGGGCCTATGATCATGTTAGATTGAAGACTCGTACATGTTAGGTGAAGATCTACCAACCAGGTGGGTGAGAGAAAGAATGAGATCCAGGTACTGAAAGGGTCCATCTTGCGGTTGAAAGTCGGTTTGAAACGAGGCCGATGGTCAAAGGGGAGGCGAGTTGACTAGGTCGCGACATCCAAAAATGATTGGCCTAAGTGAAGTGACCGAAATGTGAACGATGGGGCCATGAGTGCAAGGGTCGATGATCCATTCGAGTCCAATTACTACAAGGGTAGCAACAAACGGTACGGGACGAAGTGAAATCGAGGGTGAAGGTGATACGGTCCAAAATTTGTTGTCTTATTGTCAATCCAGGTCAAAGCGTCAGTCCTGAGGCCATTCTATACATTGTGAATCCAAGTCGCGGCAATTCTCAATCCAGGAGAAGGTGGAATCCAAGTCTGGTACGGGTTCATGAAGCATCAAAAAATTCCAAGACGGTCAAATCCAAGGGCAGCATTCCAACTTCCACACAGGCTTAGTGTGAAGAGATCCAGGGGTTCCAGGCAGAAGCAGAAAAGTGGTCCAGAAGTGTCGAGAAGAGTGTGCAACATTAAACAACACTCAAGAGTGTCCAGTCACACAGCGGCCGCTGTGTGACGCATGTTTATTCAAGCCACGGCAAGTGGATGAAGTTCGTCCTGTGACGAAACAGGCCAGATGGGTTTAAAAGTCCAGGAAGTCCAGTGGGCGATATGCGACGGGGCGAAAGTAGGCGCGAGACGGAGATCCAGAACGGGTCGAGAGGCAACAAGCGCATGGGGAGAAAAAAAAAGCAAACAAGAAACAAAGAACGAGGGATCTACCTGTTATTCGTCGTGCTCAGACACAAGCCCGGGAGAGGAGCAAAGAAAGCAAACAAAGCAAGCAGATCCGATCCAGGATATGGACTGGGTTCCAGAAAGATAGATCAGGCTGGTATCAGGGCCAAGGAACTGATTCTGCGTTTTTTCCTTCAAGATCCACGGACTGGAACTTGTCTGACAAGAGAAAAGAGGCCTGGGAATCGAGTAAGATGTGGAAGAGAGTAAGCTAGCTGATTTGACTGTGACAAATCGAGCACAAGAGTGATAAAGTGGGGTGGTATCTCGAGAGTAGAAGTGGAAGAAGAGTTGGGTATCGCTGATGTTTGGGTATCTAGAGTGGGAATCTGTTGGGTTTCTTCTTCGAGTCTGGTGTGAGATAAATAGGAAAGGTCGAGAAGGATCCCATCTGGAGGGGCATCGAGGGCCTTTAAGAAGCGATGGGATCGCATCTTTTTTTTCTCGCTCAGGAGACAGGGCGGGGGTCGTGTGTGTGAGAGGGGTGGGAAAAGGAGAAATTGCCGTCCAAGCGTGTGCCGGGCTTTGCATGCTCATGCAGCAGGCGGACTGCCTCATTCTTCCCAGAGTGGGAGAGCAACGGACGATGATTTGACCCTGCAAGACATGGCGGTGATTATGGTGCAGCGCCAGGTGGTGTTGTTCGCGCACTATCTACCAATGAATTAGTGGAGAAGCGGCTTGACGTGGCCGGGCGGGAGAAACGCGATGGATGAAAGTGGATGAGGACGAGTGAGAGTGGATGAGAGTGGTTGAGAGTGGCCGAAGATTGGATGGAAGTGGATGCAGATGGAGGGATAGTGGATGTATCATTTGGCACCGGCACCACCCGGGCAATTCCTTCCAAGGAGCGGTGAGGCGGCACAATGGGCGTGATTGGCACTTCGCCCCGTAGACTGAGCATGATGCAATGGCAGGCAATGGCAGGTAATGACCGTCGCGTGCAGAACTAACAAACTAACGCAGCGCCCCTGACCATCAATCAGAGGCAATCAGAAGCAATCAGGAGCAATCAGGAGCCGGTCAGAAGCCATCAAAAGCCCTCAGGTTCAGCCCCTGCCTGCCCTCGTGAAATTCACCAACTCTCGGCCTGCCATCGGCTGGCTGAGATAACAACACGTCAAGACCCCTCCTCCTCTCGGGGAACAGGGTTCTGAACTCTCCTCCTGCATCGCATGCAAGCAAACAGCGCTGTCACAGAACTCTCGGACTCACGGACAACTTCTCCCCCTTCACCCCTTCACTCCTTCACTCCGTCCACCCCCCCACCTTCCCAAAAGTACTTACAGCTCCGACGATGAGGTGTTACGTTTCATCAGCATGAATAGGGACCTGCATGGATCTCGAGGATCTGGTTTCGAGGAGAATAGGAGGCAGAAATCGTCGCATCTGGCACCACGGTCTCCAGATGCGCCGGGAGGTTGGGCAGCAATGTCATCATCTAATTACGGATAGTTTCGGGCGAGTGGGAACTAGACGGGATCTAGTGAAATGATTTTCATATTTTAATTGCTTGTCTTAGAATGCTAATTAGATATTCAAGAAAAGAACCTGTTTCTGGAGTCCGCTGATTACGAATACCGAGGGAGAACTCCGGATCATGGATTCCTATTTACGGAGCGCTCAGGATCTGTGTCTAAAACAGGCAATGTCAGCAATGGCCAGCAAATAGAATGGCGTGAAATGACAATGCAACAAGGCAGGCATGGATGTGTATCAGATAAAATTGAAAGATGGTATACGGTTTTCGTTCAGCGGTCCGAGACCTCAGGTGAACTATGCTTATTGGTAGGTTGTTCATCATCAAGGGCGCGGGGGCCCTCCAGCGAACATCCATGCGAAAGGAGGGGCAAGAGGAGAGAGAAAAAAGGAAACAAATGGTCTGCTTACCTTCAGCTGATCTGTGAGCATGGTTGCCGATTTAGGCGACGGGGAAAAAAAGGCAAGGACAGGAAAGCCTGTTTCAGCATCCGACCTGACAGTTTCGTGGACCTGTCAACATGAAGACAAGAGGTCCAGATCTTGTCATGTCGGATGCAGACAGCACGACAGCGCGACATGCGCAGGTTGGCTGCTGAAACAACGCGAGGGTTGTCTGTTGTTAGAGAGGGAAAGGAAAAGAATTTTGGCGTGTGGGAAGCGGGCTTATGAACCAAGCGAGTATCACGTGAATTTGCGAGGTTTGCACTGAATCGTGGGGAAGTGCCAAAGTGGTCGGTCACGGGTTAGTCAGACAGACAGGTCGGACACTGAGTGGCTTTCCAGCTTCTATGGTTCGTTGTCCGGGCCGAGCCGGTTGGATCTTGTTTCCAAGTTGCGACTACGGCGGCAATACTAGTAATTCGAAGACCATTCCTCTTGAGGTAACGCTACATTTTAGCAGCTCGAGATTGGGATGCTCGCGACACTGCCTTCAATTCTTCGATTCTTGGCGCTGCTGCTAATCGCGCTTGCACTTGAAATGACTCCGGAGTAGGCCACGGTCTATTCCATCAGGCTCTAATCGGAGCAAGCCCTCCCATTGAGAGATTCAATTGAATTGTCCCCGTCCGTGGTACGATACAATATATCCAGATGCTCGATGGCGTAGACACGGCGCATGTTCGTTGGCTCGATCTCACTACAGACGCAGCTGAAGCACAGCATCGTCCGAAGACGTTGCGATCTCTTGCATATGACTTGAGAAATATATATTGACGCTGTGTGTCGGCCTTGCCTTGCAGTGAAGTGCATGGTGGCCACAGAGTTGACTCGTTACACTGAGCACAACCTGCCTCTTCAGGCATCACATGACGGCGGTGGCTCGGCCACCACCATTCTAGCGTTGAGACCGCGGCCTATTGACATCACTGCACCTTGTCAACACTAACCCATTAGCTGACCTGCAAGAAGTCCATCAACAATGAACTGGACCGGAGGACGTCTCCGACGTCATTCTGCTATTCACGCAAAGAGCAGAAAGCAGAAGTTCAAGAAGCAGAGCACAAACACAAACCCCATGGCCACGGGAGCTGCGCTTCTCGACCTACCAGCGGACTGTCCTCGGCAGTCGCCGGGGGAGGTGAGTATATCCCACCATCGGCACGAGGTCGTGCAGGACAGCTAAGAATGAGATTGCACAAGCGTAGCAGGGAAGTTTCTCCAGCCTCCGTCATCGAGAGTCACCACAGACTCTCCAACGACAAGGAAGACTCACAGCCCCGCCAGCGTCTGGACCGCCTCCGACGCGAGCTCCTGAAAAAGCCCGATTGGGCCGCCGTTGCCGCAGCACGGCCAATCCAGATCGCATTCCCCACTCCAGAGTCACAGGCAAGGTTTGGGAAGCGGAGAAAGATAACGGAGAGTGATCGGACGAGACTGGGCACTTCTGGCTCGCGCTCAGTCCATGTTGTACGGCATAGGAAGCGCAAGGGCTCTCCCATGGAGGCGGTGGACTTCTCACAGATGAGTCTGAGAATAAACGGCAAGCGAGTGGTGAAGAGAAATACGGACTCTGTACCAGATCAACCAGTCAATGTCTCTTCTCAGTCGATGCTGCTGGACAGCGACCGACCAGTCTCCACCAATCAATGCATGCGGGCGCATTCACCTCAGAGTTTCGATGGCAGTGATGTCTACCAAGACAGCTCGCTTTTGCTTGGAAGTTGCAAGCCGTCGGAAATTGTACATCCAACGTCATCGGTTCTTGACTATGAGTCGTATGTCCCGAATCCAGCAAGTGTCATATCAAACAGTGAACTGAAGCGATGCTTGGGACCACTTGAGAGTTCTCAAAGCCTGAGACCATACTCGAGTGAAGCTATTAGTCCTAGCCTGCAACCCCAGAGAGCCCCACGTGTCATATCGAAGAGCGTACTCGAGCAAGATCTACTTGAACAGAAGGACTTGCAACGACACTCGAGTCGCAGTACGAGTCCTGATCGGGAATTACTAGTCCGGCGACGGTTCACAATCGATGATCAGATTGACGCTGAACGAAAGGGTATGTTAAAACTGCCCTGGACTCACAGAGGTGGAAGCATGCCTCAGGATCAGTACAACAAGGACAGATTGAACACCAGAGCCCGGTCACCGCTGTCGATCGAGTCAGATGGGCGGAGACTGGACCATCTGTCAGCTACGACTCCGCCTCTCCATGAATATGCCTGGCTCCCAGGACCACGTCTGCGACTGGAGAAAGAAAGACACAAAACTGACACGACGAGTCTCAGATCACGAGCAAGACCTACCACAAGCTACAGAAATGCAAGGCAGGATTCATCGCTGAAGGTATATGGGCAACCCGTGCCGCTCGAATGGGAGTCTCATCGCCGACCGACACAAGCTCCAGCATGGGGTTCAATTGATATGGCGAAAGGACTATCGTCCTACAATTCACCCAGCGTCAGCACGCCACAGAGATCTTCAACATCGGAAGCTGCTCTAAGCCCGGGCCAATTTAGATTCACTAATCCCAGACTAGAACCCAAATCTACCGTAGACTACCGACAGTCTACCTTGCCCTGGAGAGCGACTGGCCCGACCACTCGACACAGACAACCAGTCCATACGTCTGGCTTCGTGCTCTGACGGATGAGGATGACAAAGGCCCTCAGTTGTTCGTTGCATCGTTAGCAGTCCGTAGTCAGTAAACTGGAGATAGTGTGGATACATCCTAATCATAAATATCATCTAAAAGCCATCCCGAAGCATACTTCAAAAATCACCACAACGTATATACCTGCAGGCCAGCCCGGAGCATCGCAAATCTAGAACGCACCCTGCACAACCAACCCCGGCCTTTCCACACTCCCATCAGCATCCCGACCGCCCTCAACCTCAACCTCGACCTCAACCGGCCCCAAGAACTCCCTGACCACCTCCTCAAACACCTCCTCGCCAATCTCCATATGCCTCCCAGGCACAGTCCGAAACACCAAGGCGCCCTTCTCATCCAACTCCCGCAACCCAATCCAATCCTCCTTGTAGATCTGCCTATCTCTCAACCCAACCACCACGCCATCAGCATCCACCCCGGCAAACCACGCCGACTCCTTCGGATGCACCACCCCATCCTCCTCAAACATAAGCATCACAAACTTTTCCAGCGAGCTCAAATTCTCCTTATACGTCTCATTCTTGACCTCGCGCTCATTATTCACATCCGCCAGGAAATTGCTGTGCTGGAGGTAGAGCTCCATCTCCGATTGCTGCTGCTGCTGCCGCCGAGCAGCCCCAAATTGCGCATCCCCATCTCCATCCCCCTCCCCCTCCCCC